CGACAGTATGCGTTCGCTCATTTCCCGATCTATTGAGCCGACGCGTGACAGTTTCATTGTCACCCGTCGGCTCGAACTATGAGGATGAATGATTTTCACTCACCTCATAGATGAAACCTTTTAGTTAATGCATTGGGCACGTCCTAATGAGTTCAACCTTGTGAAGGTTTATTTGTCACCAGACTGCGACTTGAGTGGTATGTCAGTGGCTATTGAAGAATGGGCTGTATGTTTACCATGTGCATTGTCAGTAATAAATGTTCTAAAGTCACCGCAGACAGCAAAGCACCTCAGTGACTTCTATACTAGCAGCCAATCAAGAAACATTGTTTTATCACATCTTTATGGGTTGAGTACTTCAATAAGACCACTAATGTAGCATTTCTGGCATCCATGCCCATACTAGAATACAATGTATCATCTAGCACCTTGGTTGTCAACTGGTGAGTCGCGACCCCATGTTCAGTGGGTCGCCACATGCCTTCTGCTTTTCTAGGTGAGAGGCTCCCTAGCCTCCCCCTAGCCCAGCACTGTCCATTCTTACACTGAGCAGCCATTCAAAATATGCTGTCCGGTGCCGAGTGTTGACTTGAGGTGGGGTGGGCTGGGGGTATGGCCGCGAGGGAGCTCCATCCATGCGTGTAATGCTTATAGCTCCCTTGCATGTCCTGTAGAGGTGCCTGGACCGGAGTGATGTCACATTCTGGCTCCCGACACCTCTACAGGACCCACAAGGGAGCTGTACAAGCAATGCACATATGGATGGAGCTCCGTCACAGCACAGCAGCCCGCACTGCCGTGCGTTCCACTGCAGTTCGACTTGGGTTGCGACTTAATGATCGAGGACAAATGTGGGTCCTGAGGTTACAAAGGTTGAGAACCACTGATCTAGCATGTAGGATCACATTGTAACATGCATGTGGTATACATACAAATGTGCGACATACATAAATGCCTGTCACTTTGGATAATGAAAGCATCCAAAATCAGTTTCCATCCAGGGTGTTGAAGTAACAAGTACTAATCCTGAGCTATTGACCTTGCTTTAGCTAAAGAGAGGTCATGTAGCAGATAGATGCCTCATTATAAACAGACCTTCCATGCTCAGAGCGGCAATGTAATTCTTATTTGTGTTGTCCTCTTACACGCTTATCCTCAAATAGTAGCCAAAAAAGACAGGTTTCTGCCATTGCCGTACGTGCAGCTGAAAACTGTGGCATTTCACTTTGGACAAGTGTAGGATTTTCTGGGATGCATGCAGCCTCCTCCTACAATTTCCTGTTTTTCTGAATATGTTCTGCTCTCTGAGCAATAATGATTAACCCCGTGTATCCTATTTTATAATAGGTGCGGATCTTTCAAATACTTCCGGAATGTCTAATGTCTATTTATGTAAACAAGGGAAATATTACATCTTACATTTTATTCTGCTTCCAAATAAACTCCAGGCAAACTATATGCCCTCTAAACTAGGGATGCACTGGTACCGTTTTTTCACTATCGAGTACGAGTCCCGATATTTTTTTTCTCCGGTACTCGCCAATACCGATAGCGAAAGTCCCAATAAAGTGACATTAAAGGCTATTTTTACACCCACCCAATGTTAGTACCAGGACTTACCTTAAATCAGGGCTTAAAATTTCAAGTCCTAAGCTACTAGCCAGACCTTAAAAGTTACTCGCCACCAGTTGCCCCACCAAACCTCTATCCTGCCCCGGCCTTAACTCCGCCAGGTCAGCGGATTGATGCAGAGTACAAAGATCAGTAACAACGCAGAGTACAGAATTCAGTGGTGCAATGCAGAATACAGAGGCCAGCTGTGTGACGCGCAGTACACAGGTCAGCAATGTGACGCACAGTGCAGAGATCAGCAGTGCAGACCCGCAGTGCAGAGGTCAGCAATGTAACGCACAGTGCAGAGGTCAGGGTGTGACGCACAATACAGAGGTCAGGGTGTGACGCACAGTACAGAAGTCAGGGTGTGACGCACAGTACAGAGGTCAGTACAAAGTACAGAGGTCAGCGGTCAATATGTAACGCAGTGCAGAGGTCACAAAGAAAGTACAGGGACTTACAGTTGTTTTGACCTCTTCTTCTTTTGGTGATGGTTGGAGGAGCAGCGAGGTTTCCGGCACGTCCAGCCGGCTCCAGGTGCGCTCTCTCCCACGCAGCAGAAGCCGGCCAACTGCAGTTCGGCAGTCTTCCTCTCCCACCAATGGCAGCTGAGGTGGGCGGAGGAAACTGCTGTGGTCGCCAAAGTGCCCAATCGAAGCGGGCACAGACGATGGCAGTCAAACTTCTTGTTCTCTTCTCCCCGCCACCACAGTGTTAATGTCAGGGCAGTCTTAAAGAGGCCCCCCTCCCAGTCCACATCTTTCGGACTTATTAATCTGAGGTGCCCCACTCAGTTTGCCTGTTGCTTGCGGTCATATTGAGTGGGGCACTAAGATTAATAACGTGCTGGATTAGTCTGACCAAGGGGCAGAATGGGCGCTGGGGCAGGGTGGCAATTGCCCCCCAAGCCATTCTGATACCTTTGCAAATGCCCCCCACTGTCGCTGTAAGCATTTAATCTCTCCCCTCTTGGTCGCTCTGCTGCTGCAGTGGCCGAGAGGGGAGAGATGAAGGGCTTGGGGCGGCGTTCTGCTGCGCAGGAGAGATACCAATACTAGTATCGGTGCATCCCTACTATAAACTATGCAACGCAGCACCCAATCACAAAGGGGTTACGGTAAAGTAAGTCCATGTAAACTCTAATCAAAGAACCTTTATATTGGGTAAGTGGATCTGATGATGGACGTGTCAGTGCCAAGTGTGTAGTAGTTGTGAGCAGTACTACATGTACAAGGGGGGACAATACTGCCATACAGGACATGCAAAGGAAGAGTTGTCAGTCTACTAGTTCAAGTGCAGGGGAGGAGAGTTATTGTAAAGGTTTATACCAGTGTTATTCAACTTTCTTCATATAGAGGGCCTCATGAATGTAAAAATCTGTCAGAGACTGCAGACTTGCAACAAGAGATACTGAGAGACCCGCAGATCTGCAACAGTAGATGACCAGAAACTACGAGGATGCTACAAGAGATGGTCAGTGACTACAAACATGCAAAAGATGGTCAGAGACTATGCGCTTCCCACAAGAGATGGTCAGGGACTATATGTAATCTACATGAGATGGCCAGAGACTATAGGCTTGTAACAAGAGATGGACAAAGACTACAGGATCGGTACGAGAGATGGTCAGAGACTCCAGGCGTGGAACCAGAGATGGTAAGAGACTGCAGATATGCCCAAATAAAATGACTTATGCCACTTTTGATATTTGCTCTCAGAACCCCCCTCCCCCCCAGAAAAACAAAGAATAGATGGAGATGACAGGGAAAAGTACGATAATGTAACCAAATAATTTTTAGTACTAGAGGTCGGTTTACAGAATAATGATTTTACTGGCCTGGAGTAAGCACCTAAGTATGTTGTCTGCAGGGGCCCAGAGGAGAGGCCCAGAGGGCTGCACAACAAGCACCATAGGGCCAAAGGTGGGTACAGGGGTTTATACTGACAGTAAAGCAGAAAACCGAAGAAGAGGGACAAGAAGGTAAGACTTAGACCAGGGGTGGGCAACTCTGGCCCTCCAGCTGTTGTGGAACCACAAGTCCCATGAGACATTGCAAAACGCACAGTTTTAGACATGACTCCCAGGGTCAGAGGCGTGTTGGGAGTTGTAGTTAAAGCACAGCTGAACTGCCCGCCCCTGAATTAGTGACATCTTCAGGCAGACTACACTGCTAGTGGATGAATCAGCCTACGGGATCCACTGTCTCTGGAGGCTGAGCTAGGTGGCAAAGAGAGTGTCACATGACGTCCTTGAGCGGAGCTAACAATGGACATGTCAGAGCGGTGTGCATTTGCATGCCCACCTTTAGTTTTCAGCAGAAGGGTGCACAGAAAGGTGACAAGGCTGTCGCTCCATACGGGGCATGCAAAGGCAGCGTTGCCACTCTACTAGTGGGAGTGGGGGGGAGTTTATTGGACAGTGAAGCAGAAAACAGAAGAAGAGTGATAAGGTATAGAATAAGGCAAGACTTAGTGACATCATGCCAGTGGAGGATTCACCCTCCGGGATCCGCTGTGGCAAAGAGGCTGTCACATGACGTCCTTGACCGGAGCTAACACGGGACATGTCAGAGCGGTGTACATTGGCATGTCCACTTGTAGTTTCCAGCAGAAGGGTGCACAGAAAGGTGACAACGCTGTCGCTCCATACAGGGCATACAAAGGCATCGTTGCCACTCTACTACTGGGAGTGGGGGGAGTTTTGGGAAAGGTTTATATGGTCAGTGAAGCAGAAAACAGAAGAGTGATAAGATGGTGTAGAATAAGGAAGGACTTAGTGACACCATGCCAGTGGAGGATTCCCACTCCAGGATCCGCTGTGGTGGTGGCGTAGAGGCTGTCACATGACGTCCTTGAGCGGAGCTAACACTGAACATGACAGAGCAGCCCACATCTGCTACTGGTTTACAGCACAAGCATGTATAAAAAGGTGACAACAATCCCACTCCATACAGAACATACAAAGACAGCGTTGTCACCCTATTAGTGGACATAACAAGTAGTAGAGTTTTGAGAAAAGTTTAGAGTATGAATGAGACAGAGGAGTGGAAAGAAGACATTAAATAAGGCAAAAGGGAGACTGAGTTCTTATTTCCAGTGTGAGAGTTGAGATAAACTTTCAATGAGAATGTAAGAAAAGGACTAGAATCCAAGGGCAGATGGGCAGGAGGGCTGCTGCAAGTAGTTCTCGCCCCAGAAGCTGACAACCCATTTCTTAGCTGCAGGCACCGTCTTCCCTCCAGCAGCTGGATTGAGGCAGAAATGGCTGTCATCTGACAGCTCGAACGGCAATGTCAGCAAAGATGTTAGACAAGTCAGGGCTGCTCTGCTACCCATCCCACTTCATGTGACACCCACCCACATGCCCACCCTTCGCTGATCCCTACCTTCTGTGTGGCAGCTGGAAGACAGGATGGTGTTCGGAGGTCTGAAGATGTAAGGCAGGTAACGAGAAAAGCATTTCATCTTCAACTACATGTACAGCCCGTTCAATCCATGAGGATCCTGCGCTCGGTCACGGCAAGGCAAGTTGCATCGCTCACACATGCAGTCGTGTCTCCGGGGTTGTGCATGTCGGGGAAAGCCAAGCAGCTTGTGCAGCCAGACCCCATCATTGCCTTTAGCAGCAGCACTAGCAGAATGTCAGCCTCCCATTACTGCAACTCTCAGTGCTCCGGCAGGCTGGCGAGGCTCTTCATTGGCTGGAGCTGTGTGGAGCAGGATTTGCTGACTAAGTCAGTCCTGCTTGTAAACACACACTACCATCCCCTCATCCCTTCTGCCTTCCATCCACACTCACTAATCCGGCTTCCTCCGCCAATCACAGGGACCCCACCACTGGGAACTGTAGACTGTCTGTGAGCAGCATTCTACCAAATGACTTTAACCCCTTCAAGTACAACTGCAGACCAAACTTTTCATTTCACATCTGGATGGAGTGCAGAGTGATTATATCACCTGGCATGACAAAAATCCATGCCACACCTGTCTATCCCCGCCAGAAGGCCTACAGCAGGGCAACCTGCTGCCCTCCAGCTGTTGTGGAACTACAAATCCCATAAGGCATTGCAGGATTCTCCCAGCCACAGGCATGACTCCCTCAGGTAGATGCATGCTGGAATTTGTGGTTTCACTACACCTGGCCTACACTGATACCGTTTAAATCCCAAACTGACCAGCACACAAACAGTTCAACCCCTTAGCTGTTTACTAAAGGTGGAAATGCAAAAATGATCCAGCAATTCACATGATGGAATTCCTACATTCCACCTTAGTAAACAGTGGAGGTCTTAACTGTTTGTGTGCTGGACAGTTTTGTCATTCTAGGTTCTTCTTGCTATGCTTTAGGGTCTTTTCACGCTATCTCCAGACCATTGCGTTTTTTTTTTATCTGCACCAAAAATGCATACACAGTAATTCCAATGTTTTTAATGACGGCTAGTTCACACCACACTAAGCTTTTTTTTTTTTTTTTAAAGCACAGCATGCTGCATTTTTCCATACTGGAAAGCATGAAAATGCATCAGAACGCACTGGAGGGCACTTAAAACCCAAGCAATAGCAACTTTAAAACAAAAAATGCACCGGAATGTAAAAAACACATCAAAAACACGCATGAAGGCATATGCAGAAACACATTCAGATCTGATGTGGAGGTGGTGTGAACAAGCCCTATACATCCTACCCAAGGGTACAGTCACAACAGCAGCCACAATCAACTGTGCAGTGCCAATAGTGTGCCAATGCGCTCACTTGAGCCGCATTGCACTTTTTTTTGTTAGAACTTGTGCGTTTAGAAAAAGCACTGCATGCTGTCATTTTTTTAAGCGCACACCACCAGAACGCAGTGGTGTGAATTGAGCCCATCCACGACAAGGCAAATTGCCTTGTTTTGCGTTTGGACTGTGCTGACTAAAACGGCTAGCGCCGCCTGAATTCAGATGGTGTGAATCGACCCTAAAAGAAACAGACACCAACATTAATATTAACACTGACTGACGCTGACAGTAAAAGAAAAACATATTTTTTTTAATTTATTGTCAATGTCAGTTTTAGTGTCTGTGTGTTTTAGGTAGGATTCCAAAAACAAAAAAAATCTTCATTTATTGTCAGCGATTTTTCCATTTTTATTGTTAATGTCAGTGTTGGTGTCAGTGTGCTTAAGGTAGGATTAAAACATTTAATTTGAATCCTACCAAAAACACACTGACACTAACACTGCCATTGACGATGACATTAAGAGCTGTTCACACCTATGCGTCATATTAATCTCACATTGCAATGTGATTAATAATCGCACATTTCAACGTTACAGTGCAGCATGTGCATTGCCATTCATGGCACCCAATGCACCACCCACCCGAAACACATTCCCACACAGCACAACGTGAGGTATAACAACACCATGTGTTGCGGTGGAAATAAGTAGTGCGTGCATTACTTTCTTCCACCCGTACCACAACACACAGTATTGCGGTACTGCATGTTGCACTGCATGGCAGCGCATTGCGGAACTGTGTGATTGACACAACACATAGGTGTGAACAGGCCCTTAATTAAAAACATGTTGTTTTAATCCTTCCTAGAACACACTGACAGCAACACTAACATTGACATTGACACTGGCAATAAATAAAAAACATTTTTTAATTCTACCTAAAACATATTAACACTGACCTAGATCACGTCCAGCTATTGTATCTTTATTTTGTGTTGTTGTTTACATTCTTCTATGTATGTATAATGTACAATGTATCCCTTTCTACTCACAGAGAAGAAGATGGGAAGGATTCTACAGCTAGCGATCACTGTCATAGCCAATCTCAGGTTATTACAGTGATCACGTGATCGGGGGCTGTTCATGCACAAACACATGTATGCATTTATTTGTGGAGCCCAGAAAGTAAGCCCACTACCTTGACACTGCACATATGTGTATAGGTGGCCATACACTCTACAACCATCGCAAGACTTTAGTCTTGCGATGGTTGTACAGGGATTAAAAAAACGTACGATCTGCCTATCTTGGACAGGCAGATCGCACTCTCGATCATCGCAAGCCCGCCCCCCTGAGGGGCGGGCTTCCGATGACCGCAATGCTGAACGGGCAGTGTGCGCGTGCGCACACCGGCCCGTTCGGCATTTGTCTTCCGAGCACCGTTCTAACCAGCCGAGAATCGTACGATTCCCGGCTGGTTTTCGAACATGCTGGTTCGACAGAAGACGTGCGACCGTACAGTAGAAACGGTCGCACGTCTCCGTTCACACTGCTCGATTATCGTACGAAAAACCGATCGCATACGATTATCGTACGATAATCGTGCAGTGTATGGGCACCTTTAGGCTGTTGTAAAGGGGTTAAAAGCATATTTAAAAAAACAAACTAATAATAGATTCACTCATATTGTAAAAATAAAAAAATGTGTGTTTATTAATTTTTTTTTGCATTAGAGCCTTAAAAGCATTGCAACTGTGATCAGTAAATCATGGGTGCAATGCTTAGACTCCTACAGACCCCTTCTCCAGCCACCAGTCCGTACTGAGATACAGACTAAAGCGGGGGTGGGCAACTCTGTCCCTTCAGCTGTTGTGGAACTACAAGTGCCACAAGACATTGCAATTCTGACAGTTACAGGCATGACTCCCAGAGGCATGCTGGGATATGTAGTTAAAGCACAGCAGGAGGGCCAGAGTTGCCCATCCCTGGAGTAGAGGAAGTGACATCACCGCACTTGTGCTCCATTGAGATCTACGAGTCCCTGTCCTGTGGTAGCATCCTGTGAATGGATCTGGGAATGAATGACGCACTCTGAACACATAGCCGAGCCAAACTGAAAACTACATAGAAGCCTGGGAGGGGAAGTGATTTAGGTTAGAAGGGGGCTTCGAAATGGCAATGTATGGCAGTAAATATGGGTGAAACATGGCGGGAGGGGATTTATAAACTATTTACATAGCAAACAAAAACTATGCAAATGAGAGTTATAGTCCATTATGACCACTAGAGCCGAGAAGAATAGGATTTTCATATTCCCTGCCTGCAGCTACACCTCACATAGAGGTGAGGAATGCCCTGCCACAACTGATTGGGTTAGGAGGGGTTTGTTTCAGTTAAAGTTTGGGGAGTGATTTGCACTAAGCCCTCCCGCTCATTATTCACTACAGGATGTATGAGCTGGTGGGAGGAACCACAGCATATGGCAGGGGAAGCAGACATTCAACCCACCCAGAAACATGGAAAATCTGTAGTTTAAAGTCATTAGTGGTACCTCCTTCGCACATCACACTGATGTACCTCAGAATTCAACGGGTGCTGGAACTGCTGGATGGTGCCACAGTATACAGTTTAGAGGATATGTTGTCCGCACACCATTCTGCTTCAGAATATCATCTGTATTGGTATTCCTTCAACATGACATAAAAATGGAATGTTTCGTAACCTGGCAGGGTCCTTTGGTCAGGCAAAGTGTCCTGGGCCACCAGACAGGTATGTTTGAATGCTCTTATTTTACTCTGTGTGCATAGTTTACAAGGCACCTTGTGGTGACTGGGTCTCTTTAAACATGGCATCAAATTCCTAAGCCTCTCCATCATTATGTATTTTAAAACCTCTGGGCCATGTGATATATAAAGAATAAACAATGATAGTATTTATGTTTTACCACTGTCTGTTATACTAGACCTGAAATGTAATGGAAACCTTTATATGACATCCTATGAAACTTTGGAGATGTACTTTTTTGCAAAATAAAAAGACATACAGGGTTATTCACAAAAGGGTGAAGAGTTTGGAGAGGGCAGGAGAAGTGAACAATCTAGGACAACATAACTGAACTGAAAATAAATAATTTTTCTAAATCAGCTATGTTGAATTCAAAGTTTTTATTGGTTTTCCATAAGATTAGCATGTTTTAATACCAGTTTTTAACATATATATCCAAAGAAAAAAAAAAAATTCAGAATTTCTCACATTAGCATTATTTCCCCGCTATATGGAAACTTATGGAAAAACTTTTTACTGTACAAAAAGAAAAAGAACAAAAACAAAAACAAGAAAAGTAAACAAACATAAAAGAAATGAACGATCGTTTTATATTGTAAAAATCAAGGCATTAATTATGGTTTCTTTTGGTTCCAAGCAGCAAAACAGTTTTGCTTAAGCTAAAGCATCGAGAGTAGTGTTGTGTGTATTTGATATCTCTTGGTATATCAACCAAGGCTCCCATACTGCTTCAAATTCTGCATAGCTGTCCTGCAAAATGCTATATAGTTTCTCATGGATCATGATCCAATTCACTTTAGAGAGCACCAAAGTGAATGGAACCTTTTCGGCTTTCCAAGACCGAGCTATTGATGTCTTAGCTGCCAGGAAAAAAAAGGAGACAAGTTTGCTCTGCGTCCTAGAGATGTCCGGGATTGATTTGTTTAGTAATATATACTGTGGTTCTCTGGGGATATGAATCCCGAGAATCCTAGAAAGCAGGGCAAACAACCTGTTCCAAAAAGATCGTAATCCTGGACACTGCCACCAGTCATGGAGCATAGTGCTCTGCTGTTTACAGCCCCTGAAACATAACGAACTGACGCCTGGGCCCATCTTCGCTAGTTTTGCTGGCACAAGATACCAACGAGAAAAAACTTTATAGTTAGCTTCTAGGAGAGAAACATTTAACAGTGCCTTAGTTGATCTTATAGAGCACTGTTGCCATTCCTCTAGGGAGAGTGATGTC